CATTTGAGTTTTTCTAAACTGGTCAGTCATGGATCCCATGATTTTTTTTTAATTGGAAACAAAAGGCTGAGGGCACACTTAACTACAGGGACTATACTGTCATGGCTACAGTGCCACAGCTACGTTGTCATAACTCAGTGATGTAGACACAATTTACACTGATAGAAGGGGTTTTTCATGTTGCTGCAGTAGTACCATCTCCCTGAATGATAGTAGCTAGGTCAACAGAAGGACTTTCCCTTTGACCTACCTATATCTACACTGAGGATTAGGGCTGCATATATGTTGATAGAAGCAATGTTACAAGATAAATAGCAGCCCGAAATTATTAACAAATATGAGTAAAACATCACCTGAAGAAAGTTAGGGAAAAATGATTTTTTTTGCTTGAGATCACTTGAGAGTTAAGACACTGATCACTAAACAACTCTACCATACATGAAATTTGTAGACCAGCAAAAACCAAATGATATAGCGTAAGAACTGAATGAAGCACTCGAAGCTGTAAGACTAACTTGTATTAGCTAGTTAAATTATATAATGTATGCTACAGTAGCAGTGCACTGACTTAATATCAAGCCTCATGAATGAACCACCAAAAAACTCCCAATATTCCAGTCCCTCCATGGAAATTAAGGTTAAACCAGATGTTTAAGCCTTTTGCAGTGAGATATCAGTCGATTAGATGAATTTGAAAAGAAAACAGAAGTGAATGGCCCTAGAGATTAAATATCTGCTGAAGGAAAGGGGTGAGAAAATGGTGAAGAAACAATGTACACAAGCTGATCACACTGAGTCATAGGCTTGAAAGATATTGAGCATGAAACTGTCAGTATGAAGAGAAGAGACCCTGAGAGATTCTTTGATCAGATCAATGTTAAAAATAGAAAGTCAATAAATAATGTGGAAGAGTTTCAATGTTCCTGGAAGGAAATCTGGTCTGAGGATGTACAACATAATCAGAAAATGGAGTGCATTATAACTGTGAGAGAAATTTAAAAGCCTTTTAATAGGGGAATACACAGGTTTTCAAACAAAGACATAGATGAAGTATCATCAGGAATGAAAAACTGGAAACCATTTGGACCACATGGAGTGCATAGATTCTGGCTAAAATACCTAAGTACTCTCTATCATCACTCTCATACAAAGAAAGAAAGAAGGCTGCAGTGATTCTATGAAATATAGCCCAATCTAGTATTTACTAATATGTGGAAATTTCTAGCAGCATTTTTGGCCAAGAAGATCTGAATCATGCTAGCTCACCATGGAATTTCATCTGCCTAGAAAAAAAACTGAATCATAAATATGAGAGGGACAAAAGGCCACTTTAGAGTGTCCAGAAGGATCACAGAAGATGCAAAACAAATTAAAAAATAAAGATAGTGTAGATGGCTGTCAAAAAGCATGTGCCCATGTCTTATATTTGTGTATCCTCAACACACTGAAAACACCCAGGGTTCACCCAAAGATCATTTATTTTTTGCAGCAATTTATGATTAGGCATAGGCAGGAGGCATAAGGGATCTGTCGAAAAAGACTTTCTTTCTCAACAGATCCCCCTCTAGACTGCCACTTTTTGCCGACAAAGTGCTGAGCCAGCAAAATGCAGTGGCCATTTTTATGCATATTAGGCATGGGATATTTAAATCCCTGCCTCATTTGCAATGTTGACCTGCCTAATCTGCATCCCACTGCTGACAGAGGGATGCAGTCTATACATACCCTCATTGTTGAGGCCCAAATTAAAAGAGGAATTTTCAAGAGAATTCCTTATATTACCAATGCTGTTTGTGGTAGCAATGCTGCTGCATACACGGATGCTCCTTGAGATACATTATGATTATCATAACAGCAAAGAACAACCACCATTTGTTATACATAGATGATCTGAAACTATGCCTGGTCAGAAAGAGGAAGAGAAGACATGTCCTGCGTAAAACAGTTTGCTGAAGTATAAAGCTATGGGTTGATAACTGGGTTGTTGTCTATACAGAGGGACAAATTGGTACAATTGATTGGCATATTAGTTAAGAAAGGTATTAAGACAGGGGGTGGGGAACCTTTTTTTTCTATCACGGGCCACTGACCCACAACACAAATCAGTTGTGGGACACACACAGACTTGCGGGGCAGGGTAGAGGCTCAGGGCTTCCACAA